GGTGACGTCGGCGTCGTCGGCGTCGGCCCCAGTGTCGCAGGCCTAGAGGTTGACACCAACACCGAAATCTAGGATCACCTCCCCCCTGTGGAGGCAGCCCTCTGTCTTGGTGTTGGTGCCCACTTCCAGGCCTCCCACAGTGGCGGCTCCGGTGTCGAACCTCAGGCGTCGGTCTCGTCGTCGGGCCCGTCGTGCCTCTCGGGCGTTGCGTCATTGGGGGGCGGTAAAAGAGGGGGGGTGAAGAGAGGCGCACCTGTTGTGCCCCAGAGGGACCCCCCCTGGGCCCAAGAGGGGAACGGAAGGTGTACGTGTCTCCCCCCTGCATTCAGCGCCCCCCCCAGCAAGCAACGCCCAAGCTTTAACGTCGGTCTCGTCGTCGTCGTCGTCGTCGTGGTCATCGTCGTAGTCGTCGTCGTCGTCGTCGTCAGCCTCGCTGCAAGCTTCGAGCGGAGGTCGCATGTTGTCCCTACAGGGTGGTTCCTTGGCGGGTCACCCGCTCCTGTCGAGGGGGGGTGTCGTCCCGCTGCCGGCGCGCTCCGCTCTCGGGTGCTCGCTCGAGGATCGTGCCTCTCTGATCGAGGAAGAAAAAACGGCATAGACTTAAATCGGGCCTGCTCTTCTTCTACAGGAGGAATATTCTAAGATAGTGAAAACAAGTCTGGGGACGATGTTTTTTGCTATCTTTGGATGTTTGTTAGAGTATTGTTTATCTTTCGCCCCAAATCCGCCTGTAGGGGGACATGCCCGTCCTAACTCTAATGGGAGAAGGAACAACGGCATAAGCATGAACTTTGGGCGCTCCGCGCGGATTTCTTGGATCTGCGCTGGGTCCTCTGGCGGCGCCTGCGGCGCTGCCCCTGGCGCGCTCCACGCGCCAGGGAGGGGGGTCCAGCGCAGATCCAAGAAGTCCGCGCGGAGCGCCAAAAGTTTGTGTGTTATGCCGTTTTTTCTTTTTCTATCTAACTCCCCTTTCTCCCCCTTCCCCCTCCCCTTCTCCCCCCTCCTTTCTCCCCCCTTTCCCTCCTCTTTCACTCTCTCTCTCTCTCTCGCTCTCTCTCTCTCTCTCTCTCTCTCTCTCCCCGCCCCCTGCTCTTCGGGGCCAGTTCTTCCACGCTTCTATCGGCCCGAGCTCGGCCTGGAGATGGGCACAGGTCCTCCTCTTGGGCCTCCCCCAGAAGAGGGCTCCCACATTCGCGCGCGAGGATCAGGAGGGAAAACACGCACAGACACATGAAAATTCGGAACAGATGGAAGTGGAGGGGAAGACGAACATCCAGAAAACATGGAAAACATAGGGAATCTGGGGATCTGTTTATATCTATGTGTGTGTGTGTGCCCCTGGGCCACTTTAGAGGAGTCGCAGGAGAGGAGGGTGGCCCCGTGAGCCCAGGCGCTCTGTTTTTTTTTTTTTTTTGTGCAGTGTGTCACCTCCGCTCGCACGAGGGCGCGGACCGGCACGGGCCACGTGCACCAGAGCCACCCCCCCCCCGTACAGGACTCAGTCCGACTCCTCCGATCGACTGCACGTAAGAGGGACCTTTTGCCAGAGTGACCTTCGGTGTGGGCCCAATGGGTCGGTGGTGGACAGAACCCCCAACAGTGACACGTCGATTAGTGAATTGTCCGTTTTCGGTTCTCGAGAGGGCGCCGTGGCCGCTATTTTCCAGGCTTGCGCCCGCCAGTTTTGGGCCTCTGGTCGTTTTCACTAAACCACGTTTTACTAAAGAGGGGTCTATCCATCCCCGAATGGGGTCCCCCGATCGCCGAACGTGATGCGGTAGTAGCGTCTTGCGCGCTTGTGTTCGGCACCCCCGCGGCCCCCCAAAACGCCGCGCACCAAAGGTCGCTCTTACTCAGGGGCACTCTTGCGTGCAGCCGAGCGATTCGATTGGGTTCGATTTCGATGCCGATCCGACTTCGGACTCTGGCTTGGATCCCGATTTCTCGAGGGAGGCCTACCAGCCTGTCGACGGCCGCCGATTCGACGCACGCCGATCGCCGAAACCCGACCTGTCGATTCGGTTCTGGGCTCGCCCCCCGTCCTTGCCGACGTGTGGGTGTCAAAGGAACTGTGTGTGTGTGTGTGTGCACTGTGCCAGCGCTGCTCCCGCCCCCAGCGCTCCCCTCGCCGCAGCCGGCAGCTCTGAGTGGCCCGGCTTCCTCTCTTCCCGCCGCGCCGGGGCTCCTCCTCCTCCTCCTCCTCCTCCTCCTCCTCCTCCTCCTCCTCCTCCTCCTCCCGTGCACTGCGGCCCTGATTTGCATACAGCGTGTCCCCTGTTGCCTTTCCGCCGGAGGAGTCGACCTCTGCCAGCCGCCGACGCAAAGACTGCTTGTGTGTATGTCTGCACGTTTTGCTTGAATTTGCAGCTCCTCCTTCACACCACCCATCGCTGCATTGACAGTGTGCACGCTTTGTGCGCTATGCCTTCGAGAGTGTTCGGTCGCAGTTAGCACCTCCATCTGCTGCCCGCACTTCAGGATTCCCTGCGCCGCTGACGTAAATGTGTGTGTGTGTTTCGCAGAGGAGGCGAATGAAAAGGGCAGGGTGTGCATGGACAGGGTCTGGGGGAGCATGGGGTCGGGAACGACGTGCAGGGGAAGGTGAATGGAGAGGCACAGGAACGTGAAGGACGCGCGGTATGGGCAGCCTCTCGATGAGGGTGGCGCACGTGTGAGCATCTCAGTCGGAGACCGTGCCGAGAGGAGCACTTCAGTGAGGAGTACGGCTTGCCTTATTATTGGAACAAGCAAACCGGCGAGTCCTCCTGGGAGAAGCCGCGGTGACGCGCGACCTTCCGACGTTAGAGAGTGCGACATGGAATCGGCCGCGCGAGAGAAGGTGGGTGAGTATGCAGAGCAGGCGAACGCACTACCAATTAACAATCGATCTCGTTGTTTACCTACAGGCGTTTCGAAAAGGGCCGGGTCTTCGAGGGCCGAAGGAGTTGTCATCTTTTCCTCGGCGATAGGCGGCGGAAGGGCGGCGGAAGTAAAACAAGCTCGCCTCCGCCAGCGGAAGCCGGCGGAAGCTCGGCGGACGGCGGCTGAAGTAGAAGACGCGCCCTCAAGAGATGGACATGTCTTTGGGCCTGAGGTTTCCGAAATCGCTTACATGTTGGTCTCACTGTCTGTCAATGTACCTGTCAACCGATGGACAGCCACGGCGAGGCGTCAGCCGTGGGAGCCGCGGGACATCCGTGGCGAGACACCGACGGGCCAACCGCGGGACAACCACGGGACAACAACGGGACAACCACGGGACAACCGCGGGACATTCGCCAGGACACCGCACGACAAGATGGGGGGGAGGTTTTGTACGACTTGGTCCCAGCCCTGGCTGGCACATCGTCGCCTTCGCTCAGCTTCGAATCACACGCACGCGCGACACGAAGATTGACACCAATTTCCTGGTGCAGGTCTCTCTCTTTGTCTCTGTTTCCCTGGCTCTCATGTTAACGATGCTCTTATCCGAGGTCTCGGGAGCACGACTTGTGTTTTGATGCCGAGTGGAATGTTAGCCAGCGTGGACCCACACCAGTTCTTTTTATTGACATCTATGTGGCGCAAGCGCTGCAACCTATGTGGCGCAACGAGTTGCGACGCAATACAAACCAATGCAAAGCGCTGCAGATCAGTGCAAGTCAACGAAACGCAATGCAACACAATGCAAAGCAACGCTACGCAAATCAATGCAACGCAATGTGATGCAATGCGACGCGCTTCGATTGCAATGCAGCGCAATGTAAAGCAGTGCAGAGCAATGCAAAGCACTGCAATTCAATGCAAAGCAATGCGATGCATATAATATGATGTTAATGTAAATCAATGCAAAGCTATGCGACGCAATTGAAGTGATGCGAAGCAATGCGGCAGTGCGATTGCAGTGCGAAGCAATGCAGCGCAATGCAAAGCAATGCAATGCAGCGAACTGCAAGGCACTGCAATTCAATGGACAGCAATGCAAAACAATGAAGGTCAAGGCCGAGCATTGCACAGCAATGCGATTGCAATGCAACTCAGTGCAAAGCAGAGCAAAGCAATGCAAAGCAATGCAAAGCAATGCAACGCAATGAAACACAATGCAGCGCAATGCGAACCAATGCAAAGCACTGCAAAGTAATGTGAAGCAATGCGATGCAATCCGATATCAGTGCAAATCAATGCACATCACGGCGAAACAATGCTTCGATGCGATTGCAGTGCACGGCGCTGCATCGCAATGCAAAGCAATGCAACGCAAAGCAAAGCAATGCAACTCAGTGCACATCAATGCACAGCAATGCATGCCAATGTCAAGCATTGCAAACACATGCGGTTGCAATGCAAAGCAATGCAACGGAATGCAAAGCAAAGCAGACCACTGTAAATCAACGCAACGCAATGCAATGACATGCAACGCAATGCAACGCAATGCGAAGCAATGCAGTCAGTGCAAAACACGGCAAACCAATGTTAAGCAATGCGATGCAATCCGATATCATCGCAATTCATTGCAACTCAACGCGACGCAATGCGATCATACGATTACAGTGCAACGCAATGTACCGCAATGCAAAGCAATGCAACGCAATGCAAAGCAATGCAAAATAGAGTAAGTCAATACACATCACTGCACATCAATGCAAGGCGATACACAGTGAGCCAACGCAATGTTGGTCAATACCAAGCATTGCAAGGCAACGAGATGCAATGCAGCACAATGCAAAGCATTGCAAATCAATGCAAGGCAATGGAAAACAACGCAACGTAACGCAAAGCAATGCAAAGCAGTGCAACGCACTGCGGTGTGACGCACCGCATTGCAGAGCAATTCAAATCGATGCGATCGCACTCTGACTACAATGCGACGGAGGAGGGGGCGACGGGAGGCCAAAGGGGTCGCAGCTGGGCCTTCCCAATCGATTGCAGTCGATCCGATTGCAACGATTTGACTGCGTCGGGGGGGGGGGTGCAACGGGGCGGCGGCGACGGGGCGGCGACAGGGCGGAGGGCGGCGACGGGGCGTCGACGGCGACCACGAGGCGGCGGACCTCATAAGGGAGCCCAGGTGTTCAGGACAGAAGTCAGGGCCCCTTGAGTGCGAGCACCGTTGAGGGGAGTCAGACGGTCAGGCTCTGCTCGCCCGTGTCGCGTACGCGCCTCGGTCTCATTTCTGCCTCTTCAGCGCGATGTCTCATCGCCGCAGTTTCGAAGTTTCCTGGCCGATTGCTCACTCGCGCCTCTGGAAGTACGTGCCTCGGTTTCAGTTCTGGCTCTCCAGTGCGATTGATCATCACCGCAGTTTAGAGGTCATGCTCGCGCCTCTGGCAGTGCGTGCCTCGGTCTTAATTATGCCTCCTCCGCGCGATTTAGCATCGCCGCAGTCTCGAAGTCATGGCCGACTGCTCCCTCGCGCCTTTGGCAATGCGTGCCTCGGTCCCCGTTCTGCCTCTCCAGTGCGATGTATAATTGCCGCAGTTTGGAAGTCATGGCCGATGGTTCACTCGCGTCTCTGGAAGTGCGTGCCTCGATCTCAGGGCTGCCTCTTCCGTGCGATGTGTCATGGCCGCAGTTTGGAAGTCATGACCGGTGGTTCACTCGCGCTTCTGGAAGGCAGCATGACTTCATGCAGCGAGCGAGCGCGCGACTCCTCGCGAACCTGGGGCATTGTCTGCGGCTTCGCGGCGCGGGCGCAGTGCGGCGCGCGGCGGCGGCGACGAGGCAGCACAGCAGCGCGCCGCGAGGCCCCTCGCCAGGCCCGCATCCAGGGGCACTGTAATGCCGCTCGCCCCCCCCCCCCCCCCCACCCACCCCACCTTCCGATGTGTTGACGATCTCGCGCGGCAGCGGGCGTGCGAATATCTCTTTGTGTGGTATCGGGGCAATCGTGCCTGTCCGATCTATCTTGCTCAGCGCTTCACCGTGGAGCTGCTGATTGTATCAGGGAGCTTGGGGAGAAAATGATGAGAGGCGAATTCCTTCAGAAAATGGTTCTCCACCAAGAGAGGGTCATTCCCGCCGTCAGCACCGATCAGGAGCCATTTCCTCCCAAATAAACCGGCGCGATCCTAGTTGCGAGTGCGATCCGTTGAGCGTTTAAACATGCATTCCCAAGCAATGGAATGCGATGCAGTGTTATTAAGTCGTAGTGCTCCATGGCAACGCAGGTCCAACCACCGCCCATCATACCATGTCATGATGCAGCACACTGCCATACCGTTGAAACGTTTGGCATCGCGCATTATGGTCCAACACGTGACATGTACTAGCAGTGTGTAGCATATGGTGGCATAGTATTGCGTCTCAGTGCGTTGCGCTGCGTACTTTGACCGGTCATTGCACACCATCCAGGCCCAGTTCCGACCCGATCCGATCCGATTTCGATTTGCCCCTGCCGATTCTGGTTCCGGTCCGATCCCTTTGGCTTTTTCTGGTTTTGATTCCGATCCAGCGCGCGGATGCCGATTCCAGTTTCGATCCGGCGTTCCCGATTTTCGTCGATTCCGGTTTTGATTCCGCAGGGGTGGGGAGGAGGAGGAGGAGAAGGAGGAGGAGGAGAAGGAGGGTGAGGAAGAGGAGGACAGACCCAGGGGGGTTCGAGGGGGGGGGTCCTTGGGGATTGTCCGAGGAAATGGGTCTGGGGGGATTCCTAGGGGGGGTCCGAGGGGAGGGTCCGAGGGGGGATGGTTGGAGAGGGGTTCCGAGGGGGTTCCAAGGGGGGGTCCGAGGGGGGATCCTTGAGAGGGTTCGGACCGATGCGAGGCGGGGACGAGGAGGGCCCGGGCACCTGGGGGCCCAGACCCCAGGGGATGGGGCTGGATCCGGTTCGGCCAGTTCGGTTCGAGGACGGGTTCTCGGTCTTCGGTCCAGTTCGCGGGCATCATGGTTTTCATGGCCAGTCGTCGCCGTCGTACGAGATTTTGATTCCGACTTCGATCCCGGTGCGGCAGATTCGATTCCGGTTCAGATCCGAAGGGCTGCTGAGTTAACGATCGGAAGCTCAGCAGCCCTTCCGGAGTCGATTCTGGTCCGATCCGATGCGCAGTTTTCCAGTGGCTCCCGATCCAGTCTGTCGCCGATCCGATTTCGAGTTTCTGATCCGGTGCGGGGTTGGACTGCCATTTTTGCGTATCTTTCTCTTACGTAGCGCAGCGCACCACAACATAGAGTTGCATTGCATAGCGTCGCTTGGCGCATAGCATCATATCACTGCACGCCATTCCCAGACGTGGTACACCATATCGTGGCATACCATTGCCTAGCAACACGTGTTAGCGCATGTAATGTCATCGCGTACACTTCGCACAGCATTGATGCAGTTATTATCATGGTGCTGCTTCGTCGCGCAACGTACACCAAGCACATGCAATTCGTTGCAGCACCACCCACAATTCACATCGAATCTAAGTCAACTCACGTCACGTCCCATCAACACGCATCACATGGACCATCCCAAGATAGGAGAGGACAACACATGGTAGGGGCCTGCCCAGAGGTGCCGCCCGGCGACCCCCGAGCGACCCGATCGAGTCCGAGCGACCCCCCTCACGCCCTGCGCGACCTCCGAGCGAGGCCCCGAGCGACCCCCGATGTGCGGGGGGTCACGCCACGCATCGCCAGGGCCTTCCGCTTCGAGGCAGCAGGGGCCCATCAGGCAAGTTCTAACCAGGTAGAAGGAATTAGGAAGCAGACAGGTTGGGCCTCCTCGTCCTCTCCCTCCTCCTCGCCCTCCTTTGCTCACCCAACGGAGATGCAGCGAAAGAAGGACAGTATTTGAGGCGGATGATGTCGAAACAGCGGGGGCC